ACTTCTTTTCATATACAATGAAATATCCAGTTAAAGTGATTGTGTGAATTTGGTACGCTTCTTTTCATATACAGTGACATATCTATTTAAAGTGATTGTGTGAATTTGGTACGCTTCTTTTCATATACAATGACATATCCAATTAAAGTGATTGTGTGAATTTGGTACGCTTCTTTTCATATACAATGACATATCCATTTTCTGTTCCCGAAGATACCTAGTGGAAAACTCAAGTGTTTTTACATTATTTATAATAACAACCTTCGGTAACTAGTTATGCTTCAAGAGCCAAATTTATTGGTTATACGTGTGCAGTGCCTTCTTGCGGATAATTTTTTAAACTTTGAATGGTGAGGTTACTCCACGTAACTGATTAAGACGAAATTTCAAGTTTCAGTAGAAGGTGTATGAAAACTCAAAAGAAGGTAGATGAAATTAGATAGAAAGACCAAACTCTTCGAAAGTGATATTTGAAATAACTCTGGGTATGTTCTTTAAGTGTTACACAACAGACCAGTAGCGATCTGGCCATTGACCTGGTTGTAATTACAGGTGTGAATGTTACCTTCAGAACGATCATAAAACTTGCACAAATTGGCTTCAATGGATATGTAACTGCTCAAAAATCTACTGCTTAAGACAAATAACCAAACCAAAAGGCTGACATTTGCATTATTTTCCAAGCAGTGGGATGAAAAAAGTGGAAGAAGTTGCTCTTTAAAGACAAATTAAAATCGTGAGGCAACAATCAACGATAGTTTTTCCGACTGCATTGAGGAGAACAATATCACGGTCAGCGTTCCACATCTACAGCGAAGCATGCTGGGGGACCAATATAAGTGTAGACTGTATCTCAGTCAATGTTTTTGGGGATTTATACAAAAATTACGGTGTCATGACTGTTAACAAGACCCGTTGGACAGTGATTAATCTTGCATTAAGACAGTAGCCCAAAACTTGCAGCAAATGTGGTGAAACGATACCTGGTAGCAAAAAAAGTACAATGCAACACCTCACAACCCTAGAGTTGGCTTGCACAAAGACCCAATATGAATATTAATTAGACTATATGACCTTATATGGAAACTGATAAGCAATCAAACAACTTGACCGGATTGTGGGGAGTAGAACAGTACATTTGGAATCGTATTTCATTGTATGTGACTCTTGTGTGTATATATCCTTAATTAGTTCCAGTAATGTCCATAATTATAAACTGACTATTTAATTCCAATAGCTCATTGTTTGTGACTCTTGTGTGTATATATCCTTAATTAGTTCCAGTAATGTCCATAATTAGGAATTAGTAGATAAAAAATAAGCAATTAATTCAGTGATTCAAAAATATTTTGAAGATTTGTTAAGACGCATGTGATGTTGTTGTTAGTGTATTATAGACTATGGAGTTTTTCACATTTACCGGGTGTATATATGCGTACGAAACAGATGTTGGAGAAACAAAAAAAAGCAATTTATTGTTCTACTGGACAATTGAAACAATACATATTTTAATGCGTCTTGCTTAGAAGGAAAAAAAACATATTTTTAATTAACATTTTGTGATTAAGGTGTGGGGGAAGGAAACGTTTATTTATTAAAAAGGACCAATATACAAAATTCGGATTATTATAATCTACTAATGTATACATATTAAAACAAGTTTGGTTGACACCAGAGACTCTGTATTATAGTTCCCTTAAATGTACCTCACTGCTGGTACTGTGATTAGTTAGATATTCATATTTAAAGACGTGTTGTGCTTAGAAAAAGTTTGAAAATATGAACACATGTTAATGTATGTAATTTCTACAGTAACTTACTATTAGGCCCCCCTGTATAATTGTGGGGCGCTTAATTTATTTGCACATACAAAAAAGACTGATTATTTGATGTATCAAGCGACTGCTTGGGCCCTATGAAGGCAGTGATATAATGACGTCACGTTTTTCTTGCTTTGATCTCTCACCATAGTGAAGAGCCACGATCTTGGGTGGCAAGCTATTAGAGGCATATTCTATCTAAGACCGTTTGTTTGATTAGCTGTTCAAAGACACGTACCATTAAAATCTCACAACAGTGGTAATGAAATGGTAACACATTCTACTCAATTGGAAAAACTGTGGTCATCAACCGCTGATGAGAGACAAGAGGAATAGACGATTGAACAGGCTTGTAAGGTGCATAAACAGACGTCAAAATGTTCCCATTGTTTAACACTGGTCATGATTTAATTGTTTCCCACTGTATCATTCCCTGATGCAAAAATGAAAGTTTTATTTTGGTGGTATTTAGATCGCCACCTGGATAGAGATTGGTTTGAAGTGTGTGTGATACGGTCTGATGGATTGCGTGTATCTTTTTTTTTTTTTTTTTACAGTGCAAATTCCTGGAGAAGGTGTAATGGTGTAGAGAATGTTCTCAGGCCAGGTGATTGGTCTTATAATGTAACTCAAAGGGTGACACTAGATATGGGAATTTTATGGATAAATATATAAATATAGTATATGTATATTATCATTCTCTTATTTCATTTCGAATTTTATGACAAGTAAGTTCCCATCTTTTTTCTCTTTGCCCCTGTATAATAAAAAGCTTGGGCAATAAATATGAAATTTCCTCATTGTTTAACTGCGTAATTTAATGAAAACGAATGGAACTTACACGTTAAAGCATGTTCTACATCTTGACGTAAAATAAAAATACCAACGCTTATACCAGTTTATTTCCAGATATTTAGATCTTCTAAGTATAATACGCTTCTTACCTTCGGAGGTTCTAACTTCAACGAATATGAAGAAGAAGCTTTTCGAGCAAATTTGAAAGAGGGTGACTGAAAAAAAAGAAAGAATTTGACACAGAATAAATCTTTACAAGATTAGACCCTTGACTGCAAAAAAAAAAGATTTATCTAGAGCTAATAAAGTACGCATTAATCAAGTTTAGTCATACAGAGAAACCTTTGGTAAAACCTACCATGCCTCAATCCATCACAAAAAATTATGTAAATTCAAATACATTTCCATACGATTAAGCAATCGTCGGAATAAAATAAGTTTATTTTGTTAGATAACAAAGACTGACGTATAGTTAAGTGGCCTAACATTTCTATATACGCCTTTTTTTAAGCCAGTGACGTTAATACATTACATAGTTTCTGTTTTACGGCTCAAGATTATACGAATTTTAGTTTCAAATTCTCCAATATTTACTGGGCATGTGAGCCAATCCATATTTTTAGTGAAGAGAAGATGGCTGTATTCATGAGTGACGTTCAAAAGAACATTGTTTGGTATACTTTTTTCTCTCTATATATATAGGTAATCCTTCTTCAGTTAACATTATACGAGGTTCTGAGACGCTAGACCTAATATACATATATACATAAAGATTACACAACAGTTATATTCATTTTAACATCTAAATAAAAGAAACTTTAACATAACAACATTTCTCTACCTTAAAATTATGATAATATGAAACACATTACATAAATCTAGGACAAAAACAATAAGCACCACACATATAGGACAGAGAAATAATGCTAAATTACAAAGTTAGAAAGCAAAGTTTTTCCTTAGCATTTCAAGAGTTAGGGTCCACACAGCGGTAGCGATACACAGCACAGATGGCGAAACCGGGGAGGCACTGGGGACACGTACCCCCAACTTATGAAAGAAGTAGAAATATTATTGACAGATATAGGTGCTGAACATTTTAAGCTAATAACTTGTGTCCAGGAATAAAGTTAAACGGCCTATAATAAAAATGTAAACATTATTATTTTAATAATGAAGAGTGAAATTCAACATTCTATCGCAATCATTCAAACGTTAAAACAGCCATTTTAAACTACTGATAAGAAATTTTGTGTTCATATTATAGAGTTAAAAAGCTTATAACAAAAATATGAAAAAAATTGCTCAAAATATTTTTTCCTAATTTTATTTCCAATGTGAGACTTGCTAACAGAAGTTAAATTTGGTAGACAAGTGTATCCCTACTGCTGTGTGAGCTCAATTTCTGGAGATACATATGCTACAAAGATAAATGTTACAATTCTACGTTGTAGTTTGTACTTTAGTTTCATTTTTTCTATTTTATGTGCGAAGGTTTTGGTCTGATTGCCTGTAGAGTTTTTATACATATGTGTATATATATATACATACATGCACAAATATATGTGTAATATGCAAAAGTACCCATCCCCAGTGACGGGAAAAGTTTAAGTTAATCTATCAATTTAAATTATTTCATGGACCTTAAAAAAGGTTAATTATGTTGCACTCTTGGTTTCACTCAGAGCCACAGCTCTCAGTTACCTTATACTGCCCACCGCGAAAAGTAATTGTTGAACATTTCAGTCATGCTAAGAGCTGCTCAACAATATACGGTAAGGCTACATTTTTATTCCTTATGTTACCTCGTATTTTGAAATGTGAGTGATAGTGTGATTAATTCCTAACAATTTAGTGTAGAATATCCTGTTTGCGAAATAAAATTTGGCAGCAACATTATTCATGCCTGTTCTCCCGTCATTTCAAAAGTGAATGTTGAGCTTTGCCTGCGTGCGCAGCTTTTCAAACGGGAGACAGACGAACGCTCGGACAGACATCACGGTTCGCAATATGTATATAAGATATATTATTGGTACTTAAAATGGTGTGGACAGATTTTTGTAGCGTTTTTTATAGGTATAAACTTTGTAAGAGAATGAGCCCCCTTTGACATTCTGTTTAGCTACTAATATGAAAACTTGTTTGGCCCACTAGTTCTTTTCAAGATTACATTCATAAAGTTTAGCACGGCGTCATATCTTCACGTATTGTATTGATATTTATGGTGAAGAACTAGGAGATTTTACATGTTATCAGAACGAGTAATTCGTGATAATCTGACACAGCTTGTTGAGGGTCACTGTTACACTTATAGAATAACTACTAAAGTCATGACTCACGCAACATTCTCTGAACTGTTTGGCGTCAACCGGTGATGTGAAGTTGAGCCCCCAGGTGTCGCCAGTCGAAGAGTCTTTCCAGTAAACAAAGCATTCGGAAGCCTGACCTAGTCTGGTTCCTGGTGAAATGAACCAGCTGATGAATTTCAAAAGATATTAAAAGTACAGGACAAGCATCACTATTAAGAAATCATCCAAACTGAGGAACTTTGTTAACATACAAGTTCGACTCATAACACGAAACATAGCCATGGAACACAACATACAATATTCTGAATGCGTGTTATATTACTTCTAAGTTCATTAGTTAATTTTGTTCGCTCCTTCGGTACATGATAACACTTAATTGCTTTTCGTTTTTAAAGTGGTTAAATTTGTTAGATGAGTATGGTGCTATTCGAGATGAAATAATAGAAAACATAAAACTAAATGCATTAATTTTAAATTTCAACTGAAAAGTAAGAAATTCGTAAAACATTGAGAGTCAAATTTAAGTTTATACCTAAACTGTTTGTATGACTGTAAAGACGGTATTAGATTTAGATGTACAATTACTTACAATGTGTAAGGGCTATTGAAAAATTATTTAGACATTCTTATATCTATATATATACATATATTCACAGGAAAAATGTAAATTAATGCATTTCACAGCTTACAGTAATTAAGAACCGCTTAAGGAGGTCTGAAAAAATATTACCTAATGAAAATATTCAAATGAAGAAAAACAGGAATATTAATGATGCCTTATAGCTTTCTTAAGCCTAATGAACAAGCTGCATACGCCCAATAAATGTTTGTTTGTTGTAATGAATAGTTGCACAATGTACCTTGATCATTGCGAGTATCGAAACTCGAATTTTACCATTGTAAGCCCACTGACTTACCGCGAAACTACCTGGAGAGTCAAAAAATAAATATATGAAGGGATGTCTTAGTTGTTGTTTTTTCAAACCAATTGAACTGTTTTGTTTTAGCTCTAGTGCCTTTTTAGTGATGAATTTTATACATTCTTTCTGAAAGAACTGATCAAGGACGATGTGCCCTCAAGGAAAGTAAAAGAGAGTCTCTGAATAATCATGTTAATTTAAACTTTTTATTTTATATATATATTGTCTATTACTTCAGGTCAAAATTTGGAACAGTTTATTACATCGAAATATTTGACACATATACATAAAACTAGAATTTCGCTGTTACAAGTACCACGTGTTTCCTCGTTTTTTCGCATAATAAACACGTGAGAATTTTGACATGTGACTGAATGACACGGATGGTTTCATGCATTGATCAATTATCACGCAAAAGAAGAATATCCTCCAGAAATTCATATTTTAGCCATTTTTCTTCATTTGACATTTGATCGGATTTTTCATCGTTATTTTCAGCTTACAGTTATAGCTTTTGTTTCTGTCTATAAATAAACCATTTAAAATCTTTCTTGATATTAAACGTGTATTGATGAATTCCTGACCCTTTCTTACAATGAGGTTAATCGTGTTTTTTTTTCTTGTGCTTTGAAATTAAGAATCAAGTTGACAGTTAAAATATAACGTTATACTTCATTTCTACGAACTAGATGCAAACGAAATAAATTAACATGATAAAGATGAGTACTTTTCTCTATAACAAAAAATAGAGAAACTTTTTTACGTGGATAATAGATTGGAAATGTTAGATACATTTAATGGCAAAAAAAAAATATAATCAAGATTATGTGTGATCTATGCAGTAAAGTTTTGCTTGCTTTTTTAAATAGCGTGATGGTACAGCTTTCTCAAGAGTTTATTGTGTTTTAGGAACTGACAGATTATTGAGAGAAAAAAGAACTTAATGGTTTAGTACATTATATGAAATATTCTAAACATACTATGTTCAATCAAGGTTTAAACTAGGCCTAAACCACATGAACCGTAACTAGTTTTACAGACTTGTTAAGATCCTTATAGACTACCTAATAACCTGTTATTCAGTCACAGCTTGCTTCATAGCTCTATTATAATGATTAATTATGTAATGATTAACTCTTTTCCGCAAGTTTTTAAACATTCTAATTTAAATATTGCTGGAAAACAAGGTTAGGTCTACATAAATGTTTGGTCTTTAAGTACTGCATGTGAAAGCTATAAGCCAAACTTATACATACTTACAACATCTAATAAGCAAATGTGAATACAATACCTCTAACTGTCACTATACATTAAAACTTCTCATGAGAAACAGACAACGATTCGGGTATATGATATTAGCTAAATTATATTACTAGTATATAAATGACAAAGAATGATAAGTACTGACTTTAATGATTATATATATAGAAAAATAAATTATACGTTATTATCTTAAATTACATAACTCCTCTGATTGGTGTATAGTTTGTATATTATCATAAATTATTCTGCATAACTCCTCTGATTGGTAAACCACAAATTATTGAAAGTGTATAGTTTGTATATTATCATAAATTATTCTGCAAGCGTTGTCGTCATTTGCTAATAGAATATATTACATCTTTCTCACAAGTTAAAACATTGTTTTATCTGTAATATAACACTAAGTTATAAACCTCATTAATGATTAAAAACCAAGAGGAAATTGTATTACAACTTGTTTAAGACTCGTAAACGTAGATTAACCGACTTTAAAGGAGTTACTAAAACCATTTACCACGTCAAAATTTGGTTTTGTTGCAACAAGTGTTGTAACGTGGTATAAAGCCAAATTTTACTCTCTATAACGACATGGAAGTACTAATGGCCAATAAGATATTGAAGCGTTATGGTTAAAATGTAATCTTCGTTACCAATGGTTTCAATATACGCACTTTACAGGTATATTATCTTAATTACACCGAACTGTACTGCATCCATTGCTGCTCACACGAAACCTGAGAAACGGCACTCTTTCGAAGTTATATACAATATATTTTTATTTACATGACCTATCGCTGAACTTTTTACTCTATTTCCTTCAGATTTTGTGGATTATCAAGCCTATAAGGTTCACTCGTGCATGTATTTTTTGTGCGTGAATGTTACTGATGTAAAGGTAATAGTGCAATCATATACGGTGAAAAGAATATAATTATTTAACACAGGCGTACATCACATGAAATGCGTGAAAACATATTCAAGTTAAGATATATAGTTACACGTCTGCATACCTAGCTAGCATGAAACCCTTCGATACAACTCTAATCAAATAGTGAGATTAACCGTCACGTTATAACGCTCCCACGGCTGAAAGGGCGAACATGTTCGGTGACCCGAAGATTGTGAATCTAGCCACCTCACCAACAGGCCATACCAGGTCCCCCTGTATTGTCGAACCTTCTATGATACACAGTTTGTATTATTGAACCTCATTTGATGCATTGCTTTTATTGTTGAACCTCTCGTGATACAAAGATTCGGTTATTGACCCCCCCCCCCGTGATACAAGGATTATATTATTGAGCCCTCTGTGATATTAGTGTTTTATTATTGAACCTTTTGCGATACAATGATTGTATTGTTTAACTTCCTGTGATACAATGATTTTATTAATGAATCTATTGTGATACAATAATTGTGTTGTTGAACCTTCTGTGATAAAGGAATTGTCTTGTTGCTAGAATGCTTTTCCAAGTTTAATAATATCAATTCATCAACAACAAGAGGAAATCCTCAATAACTGCGGCACTTAAATTTCTGTTGTGTGGGCTTAGAGTAAATTAATCTATGAAACTTTTTTTTTCTTTTTATTAGTCATATTTTCGTGTGCCAGCAATATTAAGCGTGGGGTGCGCGTATACCCGATTCAATTTTATTATTCATCAGGATCTCCGCCAGAATACCTTCAAATTGAAATTCTTTTAGGCAGGATTAGAATAAATTAATCTATGAGATCTTGGGCACAGTCAAACATATCAATCGAAAGGGTTTGACCTCCTGAGTTCAAAACTGTAATCATGTCTCAAATCGGTCAAGAGATAACGGAGCTCTAAGCTAAAAGTTTGTACTTGAAAAAAAGAAGTCAGATTCATTCTGTGAGCTGCTATGCCGTGGCTAAAAACATATTACTAGCAGTAGTAAAAGCACTCTCGGGATTTCAAGCATTAACAGGATATGACCCTGTAGAAGGGTTTATAAACACCAAACCATGATCAGGGACATTTGAGCAGGAGGAGAAAAGTTTGGTACCCTTTAGAGTGGTTTGTAAACACCAAACCATTTAAGTTTTTACTTAATGATCAGAGACCCTTGAGCAGGTGGAGAAAGGATTGGTATGATTTGATGTGAGAGACCTTCTTTCGGACATCATCCAATCCGTACCGATGTAGCACGGAAATAAGTTAATCTAAATCACATAAAGCTAGTGCTTAACTAGCTACAGTTGTATCACTAGTTTCCTGTGCTACAAACGACTGAGTAGGGTGACGCATCCGCCCTAGATGTGATACCAGTATATCGCAGGTTAACCCATAGCTACCCCTTAGTACCCATTATACAGTTGAGTAGACTGAAGCAATTGGGATAAAATGCAAAGATATAGCGTGGACAAGCCTCAAACCCCCAACCTTTCGACTAAGAGTCCAAAGCACTAACCACGAGGCCACACTGAAAATGTGTTGAGTATTAAATGAACACCTCAGCATCTGGCACCATATTAAATTAGCCAGATGATTGATTAGTTGTGATATTCAATGAGGAGATTGCTCTGTAGAGAAAAAGGACTTCCTTGCTCAGATCTTATAAGTGAAGTTTACTACTCCTGTTACCCCTATACACGAGCCATAGTTGGACGGATAGAATTATAATTGTCAAACAATATTTGTCATCCCTATTATCCTTATCCACAAGCCACAGTTGAGCACTGGCAGTTATAATATTAAAGTCATACTCAATTTTCCAGTAAGATAGTATATCTGTCAACAATGTATAGCATTGAAGTCATAACCATCACTGCTGTTATTCTACACGTATCATCGTTAGAGGAGTTAATTATAATGTCCAAGTTTTGCTTTTTAAATAACATTTGCCCCTAACCTTCATTAGCATTAAGAGGAGGCTAAGTTTTATTGGTTTCCTAACTCAATCCATTGTTTCTACTTGACAATCGTACTTTCTACATCCACGGT